TGAGAATTACGAAATCTGTCTTCTTGGAAAATGCCACGATTTTGAGGATATTGTCTTCTCTTGGGCTTTCCCTTTCGGGCTTCCGCTCAAGGTTTTTAAAACGTGTATGCTAGGGAGAGGTTTTCACTCTTTTATAAAAAATGTTTTGTTCTCCTCCTCAACTAACGTGGGATCTCACAAGGGATGTTTGCTAATGCTTTTATTTATTTATTTTGTGCTTGATTTTAGCCCGATTCGACTTCTGGTATGGGTGAATTCTTAGTTACATGTGCTATCAATGAGTTTCCTATAGTGCAAGTTTTTCTTTTTGGCCATGAATTTGCCTTGTTTTTGTATTTGCAACAATCTGGAGATTTTGCCTTACATTTGAACTGAGACATGACCAATTTCCAACACTCCTCCCTTCCAAAACATAAATAAACAGGCGAAATGCGCTCAGATCCTTCTTGAAGCTGGAGTGAAGGTGGATGCACTGGATAAGAACAAGAACACTGCACTTCATTATGCAGCTGGTTATGGCAGGAAGGAGTGTGTTGCACTGTTACTCGAGAATGGCGCTGCAGTGTAAAAACAAACAGCCTTCACAATGACATCACTTAATGGCTCTTCTCCTTCAATATTTCACCATTTTCTCCTTTTTTTGCCTGCAGCACTCTCCAAAACTTGGATGGAAAGACCCCCATAGATGTTGCCAAGCTAAACAACCAACACGAGGTGCTCAAATTGCTCGAGAAGGACGTTTTCCTGTAACTTTTGAAGCCACAGGAAAGATTTTGTGCCATAATTCATGCATGCACGCCATGGGCACAGGCATTTCTATGATTCTAGCTTTATCTACTTTTGAAAACGCTACTGCTTACTTTAAGTGATGTGATTTTCATTAGAATGATATATATATATATAATCAGTGAGACTAAATCCGTTCTATTATTTGGTGTGCTGTGTGAACCTTTTGGGATTCTGTTCTGTCTTGCTATACTTGACCAAGAGTATCCATTGTTCTATTCTTTCTCCTGTTTTCATCTTCTCAACCAATTTCTTCTCTCTCTCTCTCTCTCTCTCTCTCTCTCCCTCCCTCCCCCTCTCTCTCTCTCATTCTCTCTCTCTCTCTCAATCTCTCCCTCTCTCTCTCTCAATTTCTTTCTCTCTCTCTCTCTCTCCATAACAGTGAAAGTTTTTACCTTTTTCTAAAGAGAAAAATGGGGTTCAAATGTAAGTCGATCAATACAAATACTTTTATTTTTGTTAGATCCATACGTAGTAAGGATCTAAAATATTAGTCAATTGCATGTCCTAAAAATTTAAGGTATAATATACATTAATAATAAATTAAATTATTTTAATAATTCGACTTAATAAAAATAAACTAATAACAATTAATTATGAGGGCATTTTTATGCAACACTGAAGAGAGTTATCTTCGATTTCTAAATATTTTTTCTATCATTTTAAACAAAATTTTCAAACAAACAAACAACTCTTAAATGCTTTTAAATTTGTAATGTCAAATTAGAAAGGCGACCGGCTTGATAATTTTGTGAGTATAAAAAATTTAGACAACCATATAAGTTCATACATTTTTATGTCTTAAACAAAATGGGATCTTAGAATACAACCAAAATTTTGATAAAGTCGAGAACCACATAAGTGTAAAGGTTGAAAGGCAGAACAGCTTGTTTCCTTCTACACTCCACCTTTAAAAAAGCTTTAATTATTTCTTGAAACTCGAAATCTTCCATGGGGATCGGTGGGATTGTTTAGTTGTAAACGTGCTGGTTGCCCCAAAAGGCAGCAAAACCCAACTGAAGAAGCCGAGGGGAGAGGCTTCCATTCAGAGTGGACTTTGCAGCAACAATTTTAGGGTCAAAAGGTTCAAACTTTGAGGATTTAAGAACATTGTAAGCTGACCCAGAAGAGTATTTAATGAAATTAAGTTCTCATTCTTCTACCATTCAATCCTCATTTGATCTAGATTTTGTGTTCACCAGCTGCAGTTTAATGAATTTGGGAGCAATATCTTTGAGCAAATGTTTTGATCTGGATTTGAAGAAGAAGAAGAAGAAGAAGATGCTGATGGAGGAGAGGAAGTCGTCCTCCGTATCAGATGTTGGAGCTTGGGGTATGAACATAATCAGCTCAGTGGGCATCATCATGGCCAACAAGCAGCTCATGTCCCAAACTGGCTTTGCCTTTTCCTTTGGTTTGTACCTCTCTTCTTCTATTCTAAGTTTCAAATTTCATTACCATAAGTCTTGCAAGCAATTGAGAGGGAGAGACCGAACATTGCGCTCGTTTGTTTTCTCGAGTTTCATCTTTTTTAAGAAAACATTTGAATTCTTAGCCAGCTACCGTTCGCCCTTCGCCCATTGACTGAATGAAGAGCCTTTAATCAAAGCTCTCGATAAATGATGAAGGACCAACATGAAAATGATAATCCCATTGAGGGTGTTCAAGAGAAAACATAAATGTGAGATCCCACGTAAGTTGGGGAGGAGAACGAAACATTTTTTATAAAAGTGTGGAAACCTCTCCTAGTAAATGAGTTTTAAAACCTCGAAGGAAAGCCCAAAGAGAATAATATCTGCTAGCAGTGGGCTTGGGTTGTTGCAAATAGCATCAGAGTCATGCACTTAGTGATATGCCAGCAAGGAGGCTGAGCCCCGAAGGAGGTGGACACAAGGTAATGTGCTAGCAAGGACGCTGGCCTCTAAAGGGGGTGGATTAGGGGAGTCCCACATCGATTGGAGAGAGAACGAGTGCCAGCAAAGACATTGAACCCCCAAGGAGGTGGATTAGGAGGGTCCCACATTGATTGGAGAGGGAACAAGTGCAAGCGAGGACGCTGGGCCTCGAAGGGGGTGGATTGTGAGATCCCATATCGGTTGGAGAGAAAAATGAAGCATTCCTTATAAAGGTGTGTAAACCTCAAAGAGAAGCTCAGAAGGAAAAACTCAGAAAGAACAATATCTACTGCTTGATTAGTGATCTTGGTCGCATTCTCAATATAGAAATGAAAGTCAATAAGTCTATTGGAATTGGCTCTGTATCGATGGAATCTCATCATCCTATTGATAAAGAAAGCTGCTGCTAATGAATTCACTCTTGAACTGTAAAGATTCTCGAACCTCCACGAAATCTCTATGCATGTGTTCTTTCTTTCCACATCATCTCTTTTGGCCGTTTTTCTTAGCGGTGAGTGGTATCTCCTTCATTTCACCAACTACTTGTTCTGATCCAAGGCTTTCCTTTTGTGTTTCAGCTACAACCTTAACTGGATTTCACTTTTCTGCAACTGCAATGGTTGGCTGGATTTCAAATGCTACTGGCTATTCTGAATCCAAATCTGTTCCCTTCTGGGAGCTTCTTTGGTTCTCGATTATCGCCAACACGTCGATAGCAGCCATGAACTTCAGCCTCATGTTAAACTCCGTTGGATTCTATCAGGTTCAATCTTCTCCCCCTTACCCTTATTTGTCATGTCACTCGTGATCGTCATCGACAATAACCGAACGTTGTCACTGCTCCATACGCTTGTAGATATCAAAGCTAAGCATGATACCAGTGGTTTGTGTAATGGAATGGATTCTTCATGGAAAACAATACTCAAGGGAAGTGAAGATGGCCGTCGCCGTGGTCGTTGTCGGTGTCGGGGTCTGTACAGTGACTGATGTGAAGGTTAATGCCAAAGGGTTCATTTGTGCCTTGGTAGCAGTCTTGTGCACATCACTGCAACAAATTGTAAGCACTTTCTTTTTGTGTGAATCCGACATTGGTTGAGGACACAGTCTCACGTTAGTTAGGGAGGAAAACAAAACACCCTTTACAAGGGTGTGGAAACCTTTCCCTACGCGTTTTAAAGCCTTGAGGGGAAGCCCGTAAGGAAAAGCCTAAAGAGGACAATATCTACTAGCGGTGGGCCTAGGCCGTTACAAATGGTATCAAAGCTAGACACCGGACTATGTGCCAGTGAGGAGCTCTTCCACGAAAGGGGTAGACATAGGACGGTATGCCAGTAAAGACGCTGGGGTGAATTTGGTGGGGTCCCACATCGATGAGGACAATATCTGCTAGCGGTGGGCTTGAGCCGTTACACTTTTCTTCCTGCTAAATCTGAAGCTCTAACGCTTTTGCATTGATTAACAGTCTATAGGTTCATTACAAAAGAAGTACTCAATAGGATCCTTTGAATTACTCAGCAAGACAGCTCCCATACAAGCACTTTCTCTTCTAACAGTTGGCCCATTCATTGACTACTGCCTCACAAGCAAATCTATACTGAATTACAGCTACACTTTCAACGCGTTTGTGAGTCGTTCTTCCGATCTCTCTTTCGAATCCCGTAAATGTTTCGCTTTTGCTTTTGAAGGTTCCAATCAATTTGAAACCTTAATGAATGTTGCAGAGTTTCATAGTACTGTCATGCTCCCTTGCTGTGTTCTGCAACATCAGTCAATATCTGTGCATCGGGCGCTTCTCAGCCGTGTCGTTCCAGGTGTTAGGCCATATGAAGACGGTATGCGTGTTGACATTGGGGTGGCTGCTCTTTGATTCAGAGATGACATTGAAGAACATATCAGGAATGGTTCTTGCTGTTGTTGGGATGGTGGTTTATAGCTGGGCAGTTGAGATTGAGAAGCAAGGCAATGCAATGGCTGTCCCTCAAACAAAGAGCCCACTTTCAGATGAGGAGTTGATGCTGTTGAAGGAGGGAATTGAGGAGAGTGGCTTGAGAGATGAAGAGCTTGGTCATGTTCAAAAATCATAAAATCTGTGTTTTTCTTCCTTTTTGCACACCAAATTTCTCCACCAATGTGGATTTTAAGTCCCCTAAGGTCGACTACTTATATATTCAAAGATTGTAACATTCGTATCCGAATAAAAGAAAGTATTTGAAATTGTTGTGGCAATCCACGAGGCTAAAGTGATAATATGATTAACGATATGATACTGTCTAATTTGGGTCTAGTCAAAGCTCCTTATCAGATTCGAAAACGAGGCTAAGTGGTCTACTGAAGCTGTGAGATGTAAAAATGCATAAATAGGGAAGCGTTCTGCCTTAGAGGAAAGCACCCGCCACCCGTTGTCGACCGTACTCGGCCCTTCCTCGAGTTGTTGTGTAACACTACTTGATTGAAATTCACCACTTTTGTTAAGTGGTCAACCCATAAAGTTGTGGTTTCAATGGAGAAGCATGATAGAGAGAGAGAGAGAGAGAGAGAGAAATGGAAGCAAATCAACGCCTCTTCAGAAGCCACGGAGTCGTTACTTAGTTGGGGTCAGGCGCTGCTTTGTCAAACTCATCCACTCAAATCTGTGTAGATAGAGCTATATTTCATCTTCATCATAACATATTCACACACACAGTTAGCAGGAGAAGAACTGTGTCTGTATACACAATGGGGGCTATCGATTCCATAGGCATAAGGCTCAACAACAATGCCCATCATTACCCTCTTTCTTCTTCAATTTCTGCCCCAAATGACTGTTGCAGCAGCTATGGCCGTTTCTTGGGTCTTCGTTTTTCTCTTCGCCCAAAACGAACTGGGTTTCGTTTTAGGTCATTTTGCGCTCTGCCCGGCAGCGGAGAATCTGAATCCCCTGTTCCTGGTAGCAGCGACGGTCGGTTTAGCAGAGGCGAAGGTTCGCCGTCGGCGACGGGTATAAAATGGAGCAAAGAAGAGGAGGAAGAAGAAGACAATACAGAAGAAGACGAAGAAGAAGAAGAAGAAGAAGAAGAAGAAGGTATCCCCTCTGGAATTGGGAGTTCAACAATAATCTCATCGTGTTTCGTTGGTGTTCTTACGGGCATCGGCGTCGTGCTCTTCAATAACGCAGTACTTCGTAGACTCCATTTTTCTTCACCTTCTTTGTTTCTTCTATGAACTTAGCACATATAATCAGTCAAGAACTTTGAAAATACTTCTCTGTTGATTCCTTGGTGTTCTTACTGTGATGTTTTGAATGATTGAAGGTGCATGAGCTACGTGATTTTTTCTGGGATGGAATTCCTAATAGAGGAGCTTCTTGGTTAAGAGAAATGCCTGTTGAAGAAACATGGAAACGAGTTATATTAGTTCCTGCTTGTGGGGGATTTCTTGTCAGCTTTCTAAATCTGCTTAGAGAGGCTACAGACAATGATCCTTCCACTAAACTTAGAGTTCCAGTTTCCATTTCTAATCAATTCAGGGCTGCACTGCAACCTTTCCTTAAGGCTGTAGCTGCTTCTGTAACACTTGGCACAGGTAACTCTTTGGGGCCGGAGGGTCCGAGTGTCGACATCGGTACTTCTGTTGGCAAGGGTGTTTCTACTGTGTTTGACAGGAACTCTAGAACTAAGCTTTCTCTGATAGCTGCAGGATCAGCTGCTGGCATCTCATCTGGTTGGTCGATATTAAAATGAGGCATTGGTTTCCTCATGTTCTTGAGTTGATCCTCCAACAGGGTCTCTTATGAATTCTCTTCTGTTTTGACAGGGTTTAATGCTGCAGTTGCTGGCTGTTTCTTTGCTGTTGAGTCAGTCCTGTGGCCATCTCCTGCAGATTCAACTTTTTCTCTCACAAACACTACTTCAATGGTTATCTTAAGTGCTGTAATAGCTTCTGCTGTTTCACAAGTTGGTCTTGGGGTCGAACCAGCATTCAAGGTTCCCGAGTACGATTTTCGCTCGCCGAGTGGTAAACTAATAGTCTAAGTTTGAAATCAATGCTAACACACAAGATAATTGATCCATCTTTTTGTCTTAGGGTTTATATTTGGCAAGCAAGTAGTCTATAAGAGCCTATTTAACTCGTTTCAGAGCTTCCACTGTATCTGTTGTTGGGTGCACTCTGTGGCTTGGTTTCATTGAGCTTTTCTAAATGCACATCTTATATGCTTGCAACCGTCGACAAAGTTCATAAGGACTTCGGTGTGTCGAGGGCTTTGTTTCCTATTCTAGGTGGCTTCTCTACTGGACTGATAGCCTTGGCATACCCTGAAATTCTGTACTGGGGGTTTGAGAATGTTGATCTTTTGTTGGAATCTCGGCCATTTGTGAAACCCCTCTCAGCTGAATTGTTGGCCCAGCTTGTTGTTGTCAAGATTTTGGCGACCTCTTTGTGTAGAGCATCTGGACTAGTAGGAGGGTACTATGCGCCATCTCTGTTTATTGGCGCTGCAACTGGAATGGCATATGGGAAATTCATTGGCATTGCACTTTCTGAGCCCAACACAGCGATCGACTTCTCCATTTTCGAAGTGGCGTCCCCTCAAGCTTATGGATTGGTACTGTTCTACGTCGTTGTATTCCTTGAATCTCATCGTTTTACTGCCATTTTTGTGGAAGAACACGAACACAACTTGCATTGGCTTGGTTTTGCAGGTTGGAATGGCTGCTACTCTTGCTGGGGTTTGTCAGGTGCCTCTTACTGCTGTTTTGTTGCTTTTTGAGCTGACACAGGACTACCGAATTGTTCTTCCTTTACTCGGAGCTGTCGGGGTGTCGTCGTGGTTAACATCCGGTCAGAAAAGGAAAAGGAGTTCCCAGAAGACAAAGAAACTCCCTCTAGGGAAAATTCTTAGTACTCAACAAACTACAACATATGACAGTAATGCAAATGACCAATCTTCCAATTATGCAGATGATGGACAGGAAACTTACCCAAATGATCTCTGTGAAATTGAAAGCTCACTTTGTGCATATGATTCTGATAGCGAAATTGTAGAGTTAGAAAGGAAGATATGTGTGTCTGAAGCCATGACAACAAGATACGTTACTGTCTTCATGGACACTTTCCTTAAAGAAGCGGTAGATCTCATGCTTGCAGAGAAGCAGTCCTGTGCATTGATTGTGGATGAAGAGAACACTTTGATTGGCATATTAGCCCTTGAAGACATTCAAAAGTTAAGCAAAAATGTAATATCAAGAACTGAGAAACTAAAGGTGAGCTTCTACTATACTATGGTTAGTCGTTCTGTTCTCCAGGCTAATTCAAAGGGGTAAATCTAGTCCAAAGCTGTCGAAATGAATTGCTCGTCCCAATTTCGAACCTCACAGTATAGCGGAGAGATATTTTTACTTCTATGACTCGTCAATTCTGTAAATATCCGAACTGAACCACTTATTATGTTGGACAGGGGCTAGTAGTTTCTGAGGTTTTCTCACTGGATGGCGAGATATGTCGAGTACCATGGACAGCAACTCCGAGTATGGACATTCTTACAGCTAAAACGGTTATGAAGAATCTCGGTGTGAGCCAAGTTCCAGTGGTGAAAGATCAGATGGGTTACCTTGTGGGTGTTCTAGACTTGGAGTGTATTGATCTCACTTGCAGGTACGTTTAAAACTATAAGAGTGGAAGTTCATCTATACTTGGAGTTTCTTACTTATGATATTCCACCATTTCCTTTGTTGGTTGATGCAGAATTCTTGCAACAAGAGAATCCCTCAGCTGATGATAGCTAAGACAAAGTGGAGCATGAAAGCTTAGGCACACAGAGTATAAATCACAGCACAACACAATGCAACTACTGAGGCTGCTATTCAGTGCAGCAGAAATAAGCACCAGCAGGGCAAAATCCTTCATTCTTTGTGCAGTAACTTCATTGTTTACTTTGGAAGACAAGCTACAGTACACACACATGGCATTAACCTTTTCAGATAAGCTTGAAAATCCTCACTACCACAGCTCACACATCATTGCGTTGTGGTTTTGATTAATATCCTATTCTCAAACAAACCCTTTCTCCTCTTTGTAACCTCATGAACACATATACAAGAGTGAAGGTAGAGTTGGATTGTAGATACCTCTAGTTTCTTTATGGTTTTTTTTTTTCATAATAAAATTTTGTTTTCAACTCGTTGTTTATTTAGCACGAGAATTTGAACATTTGATCTTAAAAGGAAGGAATGTAGAGCCATGCTCATGTTAGGCATGGGGATATGGGAATTTTTTTTTTAACTCATTATTGTTCAATATAATTATATCTTGATCTCATGTAATATAATTTTGTTCTTTGGACTATATATATACATATGTGTCACCAACTTTAGTATTATATGAATTAAAAACACATCAATCAGGGAGGTAAAAAATTAATTAGCTCAAGTCACATGAAAACCTCTATTCTGATTCATGGTGATTCATAAGGAAACCTCAATACACATAACATGTCAAGATTTGCCAATGCTACCATGACATTTAGCAAATTATCCATACCTGGTCTAAATAGTAAGATTATCCATCTTAACTCAGTTTTATACACGAATACTCGAGCCACGACACGATTTTTACGACTATACCAAGAGTACAAGTCTACATAAATCTATGCAACAAAGAAGGTCAAAAGTCACCTCTATTTGCTTGGAGTAAGTCGTTCAATGATTCCCTCCCTTTTCTCCACCCCTTTTCAAAGATTAGGGTAACATTTGGTCATTCTGCTTGCTGGTTTCTTCAAGCTTTACGCCTGGCTCTTCGATTTTGAGAGAACCTATGTCTAAAGCCTGCAAGTGCAGTGTAAACATATAAACAAATGAGTACTCAAAACGTTCTAGACAAATCATTTTAATTTGAAAAGCCCCCTTGAGAGTAATTTTTCCAATTCCAAACATTATAGACAAATCATTTTAATGGAAAGTGATAGCCTCCTATTTCAAAACTTGAAAAAGAGAATATTTCATTGCTTCCACTTTCCAGAGATTTTTCACCTTTGCGCTTGTAGCCTCGGCTGCTGCAGCTTTTTCTAAACCTCTAGTACTATCGACATTAACTTCCTAAAAAATTTTAGACAACCCATAAAAGAATCAAAAAGCATGCAGGAAAAATATGTCATCAATGATAGCTTGAATCATGAAATGTAACAAGGCATGGACATGAATAAAAATAGGACATTATATTCAATTAGAGCATACCGGATCTTTGATTTCAGACTCAACCGTTTCTCTTTTAACTCTGCTTGGGATGGGTTTTCTGTTCAAACAGCAAGTGAAAAAAAGCAGCCGAAGTTAAGATACTAAGGATTGAAAAAATAAAATAAAACAGAAATCAAGTACAAAACGAAATACCTCTCATCATCAACTTCCATATCTGAATCTGGATCCCGTCTCTCATCCTTGTCCTCCCGGTCTTCATCCACCTGAAGATTATATTTAACAGCCAGTAATCAGGCGACAATTACCAATGACATTATTGGTCAAGGAGGTAGATTCCAATTTGATTCCAATTTCCTAATTACAACAAATAGAATGGGGAAAAAGGAATGGATTGTGTATCTCAAGTATAAAGTTTTCTCACACTAAACCTGGATTACCATTTTATATCTTTCAACAAATTATTGTCATCGTGCCGAAGACAAGCAACACAACACAGAGACATTGAATCTATTTGCATATGGATCAAAAAATCATGGCGTTAATGCATGCAGGTTGAAAACTAATAAAACAAATTATATTATATTAACCTACCTCTGGGAGTTCGGTATCAGGAGGTCTTTCTTGAAACTGAACACTGGGTGCATGCTGAAGCCTTGAGAGGTAATCAAGCAGCTTCCCCTGTATTTCTTCCAACATTTGGTGTGTATTTTTGTTCTCCATATTACTGGGAGCAACATGCAGAGTGTAATCAGGACCGAAATACTCGTAATATTCATGTTGTGGCATTTTGTCATCAACCTCCATCCCAAGTGCAACTCCTGTCTGTTTTACATGTGACAGTTTATTGCCAAACAGAGTAAAAAAAAATGATACAGATATGAGAAAGAACTTTAGAGCAACAATCTAGCATCAAGGACAACATGACTTCGTACAAAATCTTAACACCCCATGATGAAAAGAGTAAAACGTACTATTGTTATGAAGTCACAAAGTTTATCAACTCTCTCCACATGAACTTTTGTACTAATTTGGAACACACAGACATGTTAAAACATAAAATAAATGGTACGGATCGAAAGGAATGTCTGATGTCTCCTCTGGTCAGAAACTTCAGTATATGAGCTCCCGAAAGAAGTCAACCATAATCTTTATTATTGTTTTTTTTTAGAAGAGAATTTCATTGATTTTGAAATTTACAAAAGGAATGTGTCATCCATGATGCTTACCATCTTTGCAGAATATAGATTTTCTTGGGATCATATTATTAAAGAGAACCTTTAAACTATAAAAACTTGAGACACATTAGTCATTAGTTGAGTTGTTATGAACATGTAATATGCTTCTATTCCACTGCCCTTCCTATTTTAAAATGACACAAGCACAATCTTAAATGCAATTGATCAAGTTATATCATTCACCTCACTCATTATGAGCTAATAAGATCAAGTGCTGCACTTTCCAAAACATCATAATACGATACACAAGAAGGAATCAACACTTATACAATAAATCATTCTTCGAAAGCAATACTTGTACCTCATAGCACCAGCAGCGAGCAACATTACGGATGGTGTAGCCACCCCCACCAAGTAACAATAGAGGCACATTGAATGATCTCATATATCTAACACACTCTGCATGACCTTTTATTGACAAGTTAAAGCATCCAAGCCTATCTCCAGAAAGAGAGTCAGCCCCACATTGGAGAACAACAGCTCCAGGTTTAAAAACTTCCATAACTTTTCCCATTATAGGTTTGAACAAGAAATGATAGCTCTCGTCATCAATTCCATCATCCAAAGGAACATTAAGGGAGTAGTACTTTCCTTTTCCATAACCAACGTCTCGTATATCACCTGTACCAGGAAAATAATCTCCAAATTTGTGGAATGATACAGTCATGACCCTGTCGGTTGTGTAAAAAGCCTCCTCCACACCATCTCCATGGTGGATATCGATGTCAACATATAAAACACGCTGCACAAAAAGAAGTTTCAGAATTACAAGATCAACATGCAGAGAATCATAACATCACAAATTGTCAAGATCACATCCCAGTATGGTTTATTAAAACCCAAACCATACTACATGAAGTGATGCTGGTTAAAGATTACAAAAACAGCAAGTTGTATATCTTGAGTCTTTCCCGCTAATCAGTGGTGCACTAAGTTAAGATGACACGATATCACAGGACATGCTTCCAACAAGAAATTTACGTTACTAGAAATCAAGATTTAACGATAGTGAATAGTTAAGCAGGCTTCAGGATCGAATATAAAGAATTATCTAACAAGCATCGATAGTTAATGGTTGATACTTCTGTGACTACACGAACCTCATAATGTTTAAGGAGCTCCAGTATCGCCAAAACAATATCATTGACATAACAAAATCCAGAAGCTTCGCACTTCTTCGCATGGTGTAGCCCACCAGACCAATTGACAGCAATATCACAAACCTTATGGTTTAACTTAACAGCACCACCAACAGATCCACCAGCATAAGTTTGACAAAAAGAGTAGAGGCCATCAAAGACCGGACAGTCCTCACCGACATTGAAGCGCTTAAGCTGTCTCAGCTGATCTTGCTGCGTTTCAGGGGTAATGCTTTTAAGAAACGCCACATAATCATCAGCATGAAATCTGCAAAGGACTTTGTCCCTAGCAGGAACAGGCTTGAAAACCTGCATATGCTGTAGTAAGCCATAATGAGCGAGAAGGGCATGCGTCATTCGGATGCGATGCGGCTTCATTGGGTGACCTTGCCCATAATAGTAATTCCCAACCTCAGGGTCGTAGAAATAGCTGACTTTCCTCTTCACGCCATCAGGCCCAGATGGTAATGAATTGCCTCCAGTCTCCATATCCCCCACGAGGTACAAAAATTCTAGGGCAAAAACAACCAAGACATAACCTAACTTGAGTTCCGTCACCAAAATACTCGCTAAAAATCGTCAGAAATCACTGAAATCAATCAGATTCTACACCAAAACTGAATTCTGAGAATGAAAATCAAAAGGGAAACAACGAACAAGTCCGAATAAAGCAAATCATAGTCTCTAACTTCACGTCGACATCCCGATTCAGGCAAAAACAATGGTTATTGAAACTACTATCCTGTAATCAAAGTGAACGAACTAAAACTTCGCTGATAGCGAGTAATGCAACACAGTAAAGAAAGCTTAGACAAATTGACATCGTCGCCGAAGAACAAGTAAACAAACAAAAACAAAGACAGGAAACCTTAAACTGGAGAGAAAACGCACCTCGATAATGGCTACAGAAGCGGCCCGAATACCTTCTTCCTCACCGTGATCAACAACGAGAAGATTCAACTAAACTTCTTCGACCGACTGAAAATCTAAATCCTTTCCTATTATTAACTGTTTAATAAATTTTGTCTTCAATATATTTTTTAATTTTTTAATTTTTTAATTTTATCCACTTATTCAACACTTTTCTAAATTAATGCTCAAATAAATACAAAATAAAGTTAAAGCATCCTTTAATTATTATTATTATTTTTTAATATATATATATAGATATAAATAGACACACATATATACAAACCTATATAATATATTATTTATTTAATAATATATTATATACAAAATTAAAAGTTTATTAATTAAAATTTTATTTATGTTTTAAATTTTATCATAAAATTTAATTTTATGAAAAATTAATTTTGTTGTTTCTTATTTTTTTTTAAACAATTTTTTTTTTTCATTTACAAAATATAACTTGTAATTCTAAAATTAAATTCATTTACAAAATATAACTTGTAATTCTAAAATTAAAATCAAATATTAATATAAGATCATATTAATAGAAATATATGTAGTTATTTCATAACAAATTAATATTAATTTACCCAATATTGTAACAGGAACTACGTCGTTTAAATATTAAATTTATGAAATATTGATTTAATTTATATCCCAACTGATTTTATTTAAAGGAAAGACGAGACACAATTATTTTAAAAATTAGGTAATCTCAAACTAAGACAAAGTTTTAGTTTAATCAATTTTTATGGTTTTTTTATTATTACTATTATTATATTTCTCCTAAACTCACCTATTAATTGTAGAAAGTAAATATATTTAAAAATTCACTAATTTTAAATAAATTAAGGCTTATCTCAAAAAAATACGTTTAATTATTACGTCTCGGGATGGTCGGGGTTGTTTAAAAAATCTCGATCAATCCAACGAATACTGCTTTGATTAGGTTATTAGCTTATTTGAATTTGTTAAGAATGAGAAATAGAATTGGGATCAAGAGTGCAACAAACATAAGCGACATCATTTTCATTAATATTCGCAATGAATATAAGACAAGCTACCATCTAATACTTAAAAATAAATAAAGAAAATATAAACTAACTAAATATTGAAAATAAAATAAAATAACTATCAATCAAATAAAAAATATTAATAGATTATGAATATCTAAGATATATTTCATAATTAATTATTATAATATATTTTAAATAGAATATAAAATTTATGAATTGAATTAGTTCCCGTGAACTTGAAAAAATATATTTTCTTTGTCATATATATTAATTTTAAGTTTATTTAATTTTTAAATTATTTATTTGATTATGCCCTCATTCTTGAAAGTTGATTTATTTATTTATTTATTATTTAAATCTAAATAAATAAATATTTTAAGTACGTTTTAATTTTAGATTGGATTATCATTTAAATTTTATAACTCAATCCAATCCAACTAATCATATCTTTTTAAATCGAATCACCGTAAATTATTATGAATTTGATCTATAATTTGATCTATATGATCTTAAAACTATATATATAAACTATGTATCCCCTATTTATTATTATTATTTTTTTGACAAAATTATGAATCTTTTTCATGTAAAATGAGTAATTTAATTTGATTGATAGAATATTTCACACATGATTGATTAGAAGGTATTTTCGTCATCGAGTTTATAATTTAATTTTTAATAGGAGAGTAATTCAAACCTATAATTTTTTTAGTCGAAAATGTACGCTTTTACCTACTACTTTGAGATATCCATCTATTATCAATAATTAAAAAAATTATTAAGGAAACTCTAAATGATATGGTTTCAGACCGAGCATAGAAGAGGCTAGAGTCGAGCCCATGAAACTAGCCCCCCCTCACTTGGTTATGCTCGTTGATTTGATTTCACGATAGTTCAACTGAAAACTCAAAAGTTCATAGACCCATGATAGACACTAAAATCAACAAAAAATATTATTTATTTATACAAAATTCTCATATTTTTATTTTTATTTTTTAAATTTGTTTTTCTGAAAAATAAAATAAAATCTAATGCATAATTTCCATTTTAAAATAATTTTTTTTATTAAAAATATATATATAAAAAATTAATATAATATTCTACCAATCAAATTTTAATATTACAACATACTATTTATTTAAAAAAAATTAAATATTAAAATTATAGTCAGAAAATTTTAGATATTGTAACATCATAATTGAAATTATAAGTATAAGGTGATGAAATTGTAATGGAAAGACAAATAAAATATAAAAATTAATTTATTATAATTTGTAATATAAATATATATATAAGTGCGGACGACAATACAATTCCTTCCCTGACCCATATGCGCTTAGGGGAAGGATACACACGCCTTTAGTGTAGCACATGATACCCTTTGATTCACGCATTCAATTCTCAAGTATTGTGTTCAGTCCTTCATGTGCGTAAAATTCTATCGAATAGTCTCACAACGACATGATGCACCCAGACGAGACGTGGGTCACAGGTTAGATCAGACGGATGGATCAAGTCATGGGTACTAAAACTGGGTCATATGCAGGTCAACGAATCGAGTAAAACAGGTCAAACTCCAAAATGTACCTCTCGGCAGAATGGTTGATGTGAGACCTCTCTCTCCTCGTGACACGTGTTCGCTCGGAAGAAATCTCTCACCACTCTCGATACAAAACTAACCACCCTAACCGTCCAAGTAAACTCGAACGTATTAAAACTAGGAGCGAAAAAAAAGCAAAAAGATAAAGATAGTGGGGTAGAAAGGTTCAACATCTAGGTAGTTAGGGTTGGCATTGTCATGGGGGCAATTTAAGAGACAGAAATAAGAACATGAAAGCCCATTGTCACACCCACCATAAAAAAAAATCACAAAATACGTGGAGGCTTTGCCACCGTAATCCCGCCATGTGGCTACAATATTTTTACGTGTCATTTGTTTTTTTTTAAAAAAAAAATAATAATTATGGAATGAAATTTAAATATTTATTTATCTTTGTTTTAAATATTTAAATAAAAATACTTGGATGGGAGGTCGAATATTTAATAAGGTATAAATTAGAGAAATTCAAAATATTAATATTTTGATTTATAATATATATTTATTTATTTTTTAGGCTCGAGTTTTAAATATTTAAATAAAAATACTGGATGCGAGGTCGAATATTTAAAAATGTATAAATTAGATAAATTCAAAACATTAATATTTTAATTTATAATATATATTTTAATCGGTTGAACTAGGTTCAAGTTGATTTTTTATTTTTTAATTTAATGGTTTAAATTATGTTTTAATCAAATTTTTAAATAATATTAACAATAAATTATTAATAATAAATTAACTATAGGTACTAATTATAAACTTATTTACCTTTTCTCAAATAATAATAATAATTATTATTATTTTTGTTTTATTTGAAAGTAATAATTATAAGAATTATAAGAATAATTGTTTTTGTTTTATTTGATAAGCAAGAGCCATAAGCATATCTAAAACGTTATCCGAGCAACAAGAGCGAAGCAAAGGTGGTAGCTTTATGGCATTGAAAGAGTTGTGGATTTCAATTTTCAACGCTAGGACGTGGAGAAACTTGTTTCATGCGATTCTGCAGCCACTGTGGCCTCATATATCTTCCTTCCAAACATTTCCCTTAATTTCGTTTGTTTTCTCTTGATGCGAAATCTGAAAAAGGGACAAGATTATGGATAAACTGAGCCCAAATCAACGGCCGCGTGGAGTTTGCTCTATTTTACATGGGTTTGCAATACGGCTGGGTGGGGGGCATGTTTATTGGCAAGTGGGGACTTTATCTTCAACCGTCACCCGTTGTGCACACTACCTGTTTGATCAAAGTCCTCACAGAGTTTTTGGGTCTGAAACTTCACTTTCTAAGCCCGACATGGTTTCTTGTTTGCCAGAATTCTGTTGAAAGGTTGTGAATTGTACGAATTTCCAATTTGTGGAAGCTTTTGCTTCTGCTTACTTCACTTACTTCCAAGTGGGTTCACTCTGTTTTTTTTTTCTTTGTATAATTGGATCATGCTGGTACTTGTCTTTTTCTTCTTGTTTGTCAGCTGCTCTCCTTTGCATTTTCTGTACTTTTGTTGAGTTTTGGTTTATGGGGAAGATGCTCTGTTTTCATTTCCTGATCTCTTAAACTTCACTTTCTAAGCCAGGCATGGTTTCTGGGTTTCTAGAATTCAGTTGAAAGGTTGTGAATTGTATGAATTTCCCATTTGTGGAAGCTTTTTCTTCTGCTTACTTCACTTACTTCCAAGTGGATCACTCTGTTTTTTTTTTCTTTGTATAATTGGATCATGCTGGTACTTGTCTTTTTCTTATTGTTTGTCAGCTGCTCTCTTTTGCATTGTCTGTACTTTTTTTTGAGTTTTGGTTTGTGGGGAAGATGGCTTTTTCTCTCTGTTTTCATTTCCTGATCTCTTTTGTAGTTGGGTTTCCTTTTTCCTTTTCACTGTCAAGCTCTGTTTTTGACGTCTAAGATTGTCTCAGTTTTCTCAGCTGTTTTGAGTATTTATAACTTTGAAATCTTGGTGAAGTCCCAATTCTAATTTGAAATCACTTGGTAGGCTGTTCTCTTCACAAATTAAAGAGAGACATTGGCAATGGAGGATAAGCGAGGTATAAGCAGTAACGGGCCTCTTGACAAGTGGATGGCATCTGATGGAGAATCAAATGCATCAAACGCTCAGGAAAATGTAGCAAAAGAAGACAGAAAAAGCTGGCAATCCTCTTCTAAAGGGGTAATATCAACAGAAGCAAACATAGCAGAAAGGGCGGCTGAGTGGGGACTGGTGGTAGAAACAGATGCGGAGGATGGCAGTTTCAAGGCCATTGTGGGAAGATCATCAGGGGAGGGAGGCGGCAGCAAAAGTTCATCAGAGAAAATTAGTGGCGCGGGAAAAACTGAAAGCTCTGGAGTTTTTCCAAGGGTATCACAAGAGTTGAAGGATGCTTTGGCTTCTTTGGAACAGACATTTGTAGTCTCTGATGCCACCCGACCAGACTGCCCCATCGTGTATGCGAGCAGTGGGTTCTTTGGCATGACTGGTTATGGTTCAGATGAGATCATTGGAAAAAACTGGTAAGATCATTTATGTACTGACTAATCACTGTAATTGAAAAGAAAAAACTGGTAAGATCATTTCCTTTTGGGTGTCAGCCGTTTTCTTCAGGGACCAGAGACGGACCAGAAAGAAGTTGAAAAAATTCGATATGCAGTGAAGAACGGCAAAAGCTACTGTGGGAGGCTCTTGAACTACAAGAAGAATGGCACTCCTTTCTGGAATCTTCTGACAATCACGCCTATCAAGGATGACAATGGCAGCACTATCAAATTTATTGGGTTGGATTTCTTCTTCTTCTTCTGACCTTTTGCTTAATGCGATACTTTTGCATGGACATTTGACTTTGATGGTTGATACTAGAACATGATCAGGCCTTTTTTGGTTGTATTGTGTTCTTCGTCAGTTAAATGGTGCTGTGTATTTTTCATGAGGATTATCTTTCAAAAATTTGGATAAACCGACAGTGTTTTACTTTGAAAAAAAAGTAAACGAACATTACTAAGTTTTTTTGAAGCTTTTTTGGTTACCGGTATTCTCAAGTTACTGCTCCCATGCCGTTATACCATGGAGTATATTGTCTCAAACCTTAAACATTTTATTGAATAATCAGAATAATAAAACTTGGAGATACTAATATGCAAAGAGAATAGAGAAAGTTATGCAAGATCCAAGATTCTTAGTGCAAAAAATTGTGAAACTAAGAAATTCAGGAAGCATAACACACCATGTCAAATTTGAGAATGAAAATTTTTCTCTAAACTCGGTGTAGTGTGATTCTTAATCTTTGTAGAGCAATCTCGAGTTAAGGATCTTCTGACTATTAGTCACATGCAAGAAATTAAGATTTCTCTCCCTATTTGTATGAAGTCTGTTGGAGCTTTGGTCTTAGTATTATAATGTTTTTTGTTGGTAAATATAAACTCCATCTCATTTCAAAGAACGGTATTTTCTTTGGCAGAATGCAGGTAGAAGTAAGCAAGTACACAGAAGGCAAAGTTGATAGAGCATTACGACCGAATGGGTTACCGAAGTCATTAATCCGCTATGATGGTAACTGGTTTTCCATATTTCTCTGGAATGGGATGCTACCTTCACCTCTAATTTTCACTTTTGATGTTCAGCTCGCCAGAAGGAAAAGGCATTGGGTTCCATCACAGAGGTTGTTCAGACTGTGAAGAACCCTCGATCTAATAATCGAGCTATGAGTCACGACATTACCAGGAAAAAAGAAGAGTTGGAGAAGTTAAATTTTGACTCTGTTCTTCCCAAGTCAGTTGCAGCTGCAAATTATTCACCGGGTAGACAGACTCCTCAACAGGACCTCACAGATGATGGCTTAGGCAAGAAATCTAGGTTATCAAGTCGAGTTTCTTTAACAGGGTGAGTTATTCCTACTGAAAGTGTGATTGTTTCACTTTGTTGATGTCAATCATGGCTGTTGAAGATTTAATTCCTTCAGAAATCATGCAATTAATTCTTCATTTCATAACTACACGGACTAAATGGTTGGTTAATATAATTTGTAATCGTCATTTTTTAGTGCTTGATTTCAGGATATTCTTTGTTATGCTATCTTGCAGGCAAAAAGGGAAATCTCTTAGCAGTTCAAGAAATCTTGAAGTAACAGCCCTTGAACCAGAAATTTTGATGACGGATGAAATAGAACGGACTGATAGTTTGGACCGTGCTGAAAGAGAAAGGGATATTCGCCAAGGAATTGATTTAGCTACCACATTGGAGCGCATTGAGAAAAACTTCGTCATTTCTGATCCAAGGCTTCCTGATAATCCAATTGTAAGACCACTTTCTCTTACTGTATGAGAGGTTATAGTTAAATTGGACCTGATAGCATTTAGTGAACATGAGTTTATTAATCATAGATGTGGAATAATTTTCAAGTTCTCATAAAGAAAGCAGAATTTAGCTCGTAATACATTTCTACTTTTTAGTGATTCCCTTTGGCGCAATTGTTTGCATTTTAGTTCCTTCTTAACTAAAATCATTGAGGAAAATTACCCGACAGATCTTGTATAACTTTCCTTTAATGCCTAGAAATCATATCATTGTTCGTACTTATGATAATCAATAAATCTTCTGCTAACATACTGCATCGTCGACTAACCGAATCATGCCTCATTGTCTTTCTCAGTCAATATATTAGCAAGTTTTGCATAATCTTTGGTCAAGTTTAAATTGCATAATATAATAAAGATTGCAAATAAGGAGTCTCATGTTTATGCTTAGTGCTGTCGATGATGATATTTTTGTATGCAGATATTTGCATCCGACAGCTTTCTCGAGTTGACAGAATATACACGTGAAGAAATTTTGGGACGGAATTGCCGGTAGGGATGTCATCACATATTTGAATTTTTTTTTAATTTTAATTTTAATTTTTATTATTATTATTTTTTTTTTGATAAAGATATCTCTTCCCCCTTCTTTAAGAGTGTTCAGAAAGTTTAGCTTCTGTACCTTGCTGGACATAAATATATAAACCTTCATAATTGTCAAGAAGAATAATAAGGTTAAACATATAGCCAGCTGAGAATTTAACTACATCATATATAGTCAATTGGATTCTGGTCTGATTAACTTACGCCAAAATTTCATCTGAATTTTAGCAGAAAAGTTTTCTTTCTTAATAAATGTATTTCATTTCCCATTCATCACACAGGTTTCTTCAAGGACCTGAAACAGATCAAGATACCGTCTCAAAGATTAGGGATGCAATTAGGGAACAAAGAGAAATAACTGTTCAGTTGATCAACTACACCAAGACGGGTAAGAAGATGCTGTGATGTTATGATGGTGAACACGATCAACTTTAATGAGTTTTACTTGTCAATGTTGCTTCAGATCTTGGGATTTAGTTTTAATGATCTTTTTTTTTTACATACTGTATTTTTGAAGTTTATATTAGATTTGAACTTTGAAACATTTTGCACTACATCATTTAGCAGCAGCGTATAACATAACTCGATTTTACGACTGATAGGTAAAAAGTTCTGGAATTTATTCCACTTGCAACCGATGCGTGATGAAACGGTATCTATGAAAACTTTCTTTTAAACCATCATTTGCAAATTCTATCCCATTCAACCTTTTCTTCTAAGTCTCATTTTATTTTTATAGGGAGAGCTTCAGTATTTTATCGGTGTACAACTAGATGGAAGTGGTCGTGTGGAACCTTTGCAAAACCGTCTTTCTGAGACAGCAGAGCAGCAGAGTGCCATGCTGGTATAACTTTTTGTTGTTTACTTCAAAGGCTGATTATCAGCATTTGGTTTATAATCAGTATACGTTTATCCTTTTATTAGGTTAGAGCCACTGCAGAGAATGTTGATGAGGCTGTCCGTGAACTTCCTGATGCCAACTTGGTAAGGTATTCCTTTTGCTCTATGTTCGAATTTGACAGAACTAACTAATATCTTTATTGCCATAAGTAAACTTTTTCCTTGATTTTTCTTTTAAAAAAATGAAATATGATAAACTAAAGTGTAACATTTAGTTTTATGATATTTATAATACAATCATTCTAGAGTTGAGTGTTCCAAAAAATCCACGGATCATTCTAGAGTTCGTGTTATTGCTTAACAAAAGCATAGCTCTCAGCGTATAAGATTTGAAGGCGAAAGAATGAATGAAATCATCATATTAAATCATTAATCATTTCTGCGGCATCGAGTTCGTAGCTGAATGTTTACTCAAGGTTGGGCTGATATATGTGATACAGGGAATAAAAACATATAACCTTTCACATTGATCTATACATTGTTGGGTTTCAAATTTTGATTGCTATAGATGTTGTAATTTGATTATCCAAATATTACTGTTTCAGAGACCAGAAGATTTGTGGGCAATTTATTCTCAACCAGTCTTCCCAAGGCCTCACAAAAAGCATAGCTCTTCTTGGACTGCTATACAAAAGGTAAACTTATGTACTCCATTATTTATTTATTTATTTTCTTTGCAAAATTGCTGATTGTTTCCACTGCTCTTTTTTTTTGTTTTGTTAGGATGACTCTGAACTTTTTCTGCAAAAAATTAATTGTCGAGTTGCCTCGTATGAGATCTCACATCGGTTGGAGAGGGAAACGAAGCATTCCTTATAAGAGTGTGGAAACCTCTCCCTAGCAGACATGTTTTAAAATCGTGAGGTTGACGGTGATACATAACGGGCCAAAGTGGACAATATTTGCTAACGGTGGGCTTGAACTGTTACAAATAGTATCAGAGCTAGACACCGAGCAGTGTGCCAGCAAGGACACTGGGCCCCCTAGAGGGTGGATTATGAGATTCCACATCGGTTGGAGAGGGGAACAAAACATCCCTTATAAGGGTGTAAGGATGTGGAAACCTCTCTCTAGCACACGTGTTTTAAAACCGTGAGGCTGATGGCGATTCGTAACAGGCCAAAGCGGACAATATGTGCTAGCGGTGGGTTTGGGCTGTTACACCTCCCAATTCTTCTCGACTTCGCACTTGTGTTATAAGCTTCTAAATCTTGTCAAGTAATAGCCTGAATCACCAGAAAATATGTTGCTCCCAGCTTCCAGATTCTTCCTAATTCTTACCTCGGACAAGTTGTACGTTCATCCATATATTTTAACAACCATCTGTGTAGATTCCCTTTTCCATTAAGGGAGGGAGTTATAGCACAAAAGTTGATGAGGGAATTGCAAATTCATTTGCACATCATGTTGTTTCTAGAAATATTTTTACTGGTTTCCTTCATGATAATTAATTTTTTTTTAGATTATTCAACGTCGTGAAAAAATTGGACTCCAACATTTTAAGCCAATCAAACCACTGGGTTATGGAGACACTGGCAGGTAGTGTAGTCTATTATCACATGCATTCAACATGATTATTTATTTTGTACACGATCGGTTAACTTATGCTGCATATTTGCTGCAGTGTTCATCTGGTGGAACTTCTAGGTACAAGCGAACTTTATGCCTTGAAAGCAATGGAGAAATCAACACTTCTGAATCGAAACAAGGTCTTATAAGAAAACCATGGTTTGATTTTCTAGAATAGCCCCCAGATTTCTACTTCATACACTTGTTTGCATCGTAGAGCGGATTGGTAAAAATAAACTTTTCTTAGCTTCTGCTTTCTTGAAAGCTCTGCAAATGCTCTGTATAGTTCATGATTGCATCAAGAAGACTTCATGCCTACAAGTTTGTTAGAATAAATTTTTGAAAATTGGACAGGGTTGCAGATGCTTCAGTATAACATCACAGGGTTTTGAATGAACCACCAGCTAGTTTTGCAGATACTTCATCTTATCACCTTGTTTGGAGAGTAATTTGTGATTAATTGTTTCTCTGAAGGTCCACAGAGCATGCATTGAAAGGCAAATCGTTGCACTTCTGGATCATCCTTTTCTTCCAACACTATACACTTCATTTGAGGTGCAAACATATCCTATCCCATATCTGTTTTCCAAATTAATTCTATATGCACATTTAGAACTAATCCTGCTTGTTTTTACAAATATGGAATGTTTATGAAAACTAGAACTCTAATCGGAAACGCACCACAATAATGCATGCTTTGACACCTACTAAAAGGCTTTGGTTCAAAATCACACAGATAATTATAATGTTAAGAGTCATTTCCATAAGGAAATATTCCGTATCTCATGTGTTATCTGACTCATGAGACATATTTTATGGATGGCTAAATCCTCCCTCAGCTAGGGCGCAACTATGACATGCCTTACTTCAATAAATAACATGAAAACTTGATATTAGCTGCAGTTGATCACTTCTCTTCTTTCCTGCAACTCTACTAAGTTTAGTTATTTTTTATGCGAGGTCATCATTGTTGATAGCAGCAAGTTGTAGATATACAGTTGAGCGAAGTTTGATGATCAATAGATTATAATTATGAACTGAAAATACAGCCTTGAGAGACTGGCTAGTCTAGTTTCGTTGTTCAAATATGTTTCATCCTGATTATTCCTCGTTTAACCATGCACACGGTACAAAAGACATCTGCTTAGTGATACTATATCTATGTGTTTCTCCAGACCCCTACACACGTTTGTTTGATATCAGACTTTTGCCCTGGTGGGGAGTTATTTGCATTGCTTGATAAGCAGCCAATGAAATTGTTTAAAGAGGATTCTGCTAGGTACGCTACTTTTGTTAACAGCAAAAACACCTAAAATTTTTGGTTTACCAAGTTAGGAATTGGGATTATTACTCGTTGTGATGTATTAAGCTCTTCGTGTGTGGTGAAAGGAATTGTGAACATCCATTATGATTTTAGCCTAATTGCTTGTAGGAGCACTTTTGCTTTAGAAATAGGGAACCAAAGCAAAATAAAGTATTGAACGAATAGCACATCATTTTCATTCTTTCTTCCTGCTGGAGTCTAAATTAGTTGTGAATATGATGAAGACCCAGTTGATGAGGTCCTAACTTTAACAAAAGTCGTATAAAAGGATAAATTAGTTTATCTTTTTATCGTTGAAAAATATTTTCCGTTATATCACGTTAACAGTATATGTTTACTTCTTTCACCCAAGCCATGATCACACTCTTGACTTGTTATGCCCCATTCGCTTCTTCAGGTTCTATGCTGCAGAGGTCGTCATTGGCTTGGAGTATCTTCACTGTCTAGGTAACGATGACCTTTCGGCTTCTTCGATTTCATCCAATATGCATACAATATTTCTTCCTACTCATCTGCTGCTTTGAGTGCAATTGTCTGAGAATAACATCAACTTCTAGTAGGACTTTCTGAATAACTAGAATTATTGCTTCCTTCAAGAACATTTTGACTTCATTTATAAAGATGATACAGATTTGAAGATTCATTGATTTCACTCTAAATCTAGGAGAGAAATTGGACCCAAGATACTTCTTCCGAATTTTTTTCAATAGTTTGTACCATTTTGAGCAATTTAGAACTCCAAAAAGATTTGGTAAAAGGCTTGGGAACAATCTCGATGTTACTCACAAGGGTTGTAAGTAAACACATAGATTTACTGTAACTGAAAATACACATAATATGGAAGGTATATTGTATAACATGATGAACTACATTGTTAATCAGAGAAAAGTATTTAATTTCCTTAGGTTCGTTTTTTTTTACTTTTCACGATTTCCTACAGGAATCATCTATCGAGATCTGAAGCCTGAAAATATTCTTCTCCAGAAGGATGGGCACGTTACGCTTGCTGACTTCGATTTATCGCTTATGACAGCCTGCAAACCACAGGTTGTGTGCTTCCCAATTTCTTGTTCAACCATCTTAAAACCACTTCTTATTTGCTCATATCCAAGGTTTTCTTATTGTTTTAAGTTAGGAAATGATGTTAATTATATGAAACAAGCCTTAAGCCGTGAATCATTCCATGCAAAAAAAAAATAGAGATATCGAACTACTCTGGGGCATGCCATATCCGAGGTTCGGGGCAATGAAAGGGTAGACACAGAAGATAGGCTGATTAAATAGTTGGGTTTCTTATTAAATATAAGTGTAACACAAGAGGAGTGCATAGCCCCTGACAGTGAGGTAAGAAAAAACTAATTATGAGCTTGTGGATTCTATCCAAGATCATTGAATATGAAACCATGAAAAACCAAGGTATCTCATGCATTAAGCTAGTTGACCATGGAAATTTTTGTTGGCATCTACTTTGTTTGACGCTACTAATTCTAATTGTACCCATTGAATCATAGATTGTGAAGTATCCATTGCCTCACGGTAGAAGGAGATCTCGAAGTCAACCACCGCCAGTATTTGTTGCGGAGCCGATGACACAGTCGAACTCATTTGTTGGAACCGAAGAGTATATTGCTCCTGTATGGTGAATCCCTCGTTATGCGTTCACGTATTTCATACTAATTTGATTCGATTAATTTGTAAAATAAGACATCTTTGTGGAGTCGTGTAATATGAGGTATAGATTTCGCGTGGAAAAAAAAAATAGTAATTCAGTATCTAAAGACTAGTTACTTAAGGCTAGATAGTTTGATCTTTGCAATCCATGATTTTGATTGGGTTTTTTTTTGCTCAAATATGAGAGAAAATCATGGAAAAAGACGTACTTTCTTGGAATTTTTTTGCTTCATAGCATGATAACATGTAAGATGATGATGATTTCATCACTATAGTTCTTTTCAAGTTCTTATTGGTACTTCAATTACAGGAAATTATAACAGGGGAAGGCCACAGCAGCTCTATCGATTGGTGGGCTCTTGGTAAGACCATGGTTATCAAAACTATTTTCCTGTTTCTATTTGCACTTCCCCTTTCTTAAGTGAACATGGCTCTGTAATGACTCAATCAATTAGAGAAAACTGCTAGGGCTATCCAAAACATGGCTCTCTGCTTATTTTACTATCCAAAAGATTTGTTGTGATGCTTTTGTAATTCAAGACTTGAACTGGTTGTGTTTGGGATTCAGGTATTTTGTTGTACGAGATGCTTTACGGCCGCACGCCTTTCAGGGGAAAGAACAGGCAGAAGACTTTTGGTAACATCCTGCACAAAGATCTCACCTTCCCAAGTAGCATTCAGGTAAAATAAAAGACCTCGATTACTTTGCTGCTATTGTCCACTTTAGCCCATTACGCATCGCCGTCAGCCTCACGGTTTTAAAACGCGTGTGTTAGGGAGAGGTTTCCACATCCTTCTAAGAAATGTTTCATTCCCTCTCCAACTGATGTGGGATCTCACAATCCACCCCCCTGGAGGTCCAACGTCCTCGCTGGTACACCGCCCAGTGTCTGGCATTGATACCATTTGTAACAGCCCAAACCCACCACTAGCAGATATTGTCCCACTCACGATTTTAAAACGCGTCTACTAGGAAGAAGTTTCCACATCCTTATAAGGAATGTTTTGTTCCCCACTCCAATTGAGGTGGGATCTCACAACATTAATCTAACAACAGTGATCTAACTAGCATTGGCTAATTGGTCATATCCATGGGGCTCAACTAACACATTGAGGTTATTGGTCTTATTACTATCAGCCATAGGCAGTCAGCCATGTAGCATCTACATGCTCGTGGGCGAGCCATGTCTAGCGTCCTTAGTATCATATTTCTATTACAAACCACTCAAGGCCATATGCGTTATCATGTTGGGATTATGGAGGTTTATGGCTCCTCATTAGATCTTCACAACATGATCATTTCTTGATCTAAACTACAAAAAAGCATTGGTGGAAACCAATCCCTGTTGAATGCATTGAATTTGCAGCTTTTATCAAAAGTCTTATGGTATTTTTCAATCCTACTGATTTACATACACTCTTCCAGGTAAGTCTTGCAGCAAGGCAGCTGATCAACGCATTGCTACAACGAGACCCTGCCCGACGTTTAGGATCGAGTACAGGTGCAAATGAAATCAAACAGCACCCCTTTTTCCAATCAATCAACTGGCCGCTGATCCGGTGCATGGTACGAATGCTCTCTACTTTAAAAACCTGTACCAAACTTATCTGTGGATGATCTTTCAAAGAACAGAACCATTAACAACTTGATCATGGCCTTATTTTCTGCTTGTTCTTTTGGTATGAAGGTCCCACCACCATTAGAATCACCTCTTAACCTTACTGGGAAAGATGAATCTGCCAAGAACGTAAACTGGGAAGATGATGGAGTGCTTACTACAATGGATATGGATCTCTTTTGAAGTTCCTCACCATAGCGTTACAAATGGTAAGCCATTTCCTTTTCCAAGTTGGTAGCTGTCTTTGCAATGCTGGTTAGGCTTGTATAATTCCAAGTTTGTTGTCATCATTCACAGTCAATAAGTCCCGGTTCGTTACCGGCATACACAGCCACCCCGATAATTGTTTCGGTGTTCTTGGGACGGGATGACAGGTGATTTATATTTCATGGCCATAATCATTTTTCTGTAATTCTATGTATATTGTATGACTGTCTAATAACAAGGAACAGATAATAAAATTTTGATTTGAATGAGCAAGATTCATCAAGAACAAACCATTGTGATCTCGTATGATGGAAGAAAAAATTGTTTGAATTTCTATTTAGCAATTTTGAATCAAATGCCATTTAATTCAAGGCTTGTTTGGATGTTGAGATCTCAGAATGAACAGTATTAAATTTTTATAGCCTCCTAATGCATAAGCACATGGTTTTCGGAATAGGGTCTTGAAGAAGTCCTTCTCGGATGGCTCGTTGAGTCATCTCTCTATATTCGGATGGCTCGTTGAGTCATCTCTCTATATGTAAGATCTTTGTTGGATATGATTGTGAGATCCCACTTCGGTTAGAGATGGGAATGAAACATTCCTTACAAAGGTGTGGACACCTCTCTCTAACAGAGGCGTTTTAGAATCGTGAGGCTGATAGCTATACGTAGCAGGCAAAAGCAGACAATTTAAAAAATATTTCAGCAGATTTTAAAAAATAGTTTTTAATTTTATGTTAAATGTTCTAATTTTTTATTAAATCTACACCCTCAACTATTATTTAAATTTATTGACATTTTTCTCATTCAACAATAATAATTATTATTTTAATATAAAAGGGAAACGACAAAAAAAAAACATTAGGGGCAAATTTGTTAGGGATAAAATTGAAAATATATACAAAATTTGAATTTTATTTAATTCTTTTTATTAATTTTTATAAAAAAAATGTTGGTCAAATTATTATAATGGCATTTTCTTATCTATATAGCCTTAATAAATTTAGAAATTTTAAGTATGATAAATTAAATTAAGAATAATTAAAAAAATAATAATAAGAGACTTTTGTGTTCATCATTGCCAAATAATTTGGAAATTTAAAAGGGAGCTGACTTTTATTAGCCTTTTGAGTTTTGACATTTTAAGCAAATTTTATAATTAAAAGTCTTCGTAATTTTATAAATTTATAATCATTCTTCCATCCAATCATTTTACTTATAAATTTATTAAACATAAAATTTAAAATTTAAAATTAAATATATATTTAATATATCAAATAATTTTTTTAAAGTGAAGTAGTGTTAAGGTCGTTATCTATCGTTGTCAAAATTGTTGTCTAGTAGGTTATCGATCACAATCAAAATCTTAGTTGACGTCTACCAAGAAATTTCTATACTTCAATGTCCAATTTCAGAAAACAAAAAATTTACAACAAACTTTCTTTGTATATATTCAAGTTATGGTGAGCTAATTCAGATAAATTTGAGAAGATTGTGAAGTTTTTTTTTGTTATTGTGCAAAATTGAACTGCAAGATAATTAATTGGGTTGATGATCGAGTAAAAAAAATAGAGATTGGGTTGAGTTGAGCTGTGAATTCTATAGCGAGCTCAACTCTATCCGGAGATTCTTGGTGGGTTAACCTAACGAACCAAAAATTACTACATCATTCTGATAGCAATTTCGAAATCCACATCAGTCTACAGACGAACAATCGATAATGGAAAACGAAACGAATGAAAAATCACTGCAAGAAGTAATAGAGGCAAGAAGGATTATCTGGAACGACGAATTGGAGCTTCCTCTCATGGCGATTCCTGATGTTGAAGAAGAAGAAGCACCTACAGAGCGGGCAAGTGAAGCGATTTCTCTCGAGCCACTTCTCGATGCAATCGAAATGAAAAACGTGGGAACAATCCGGTAATACGCACACGGAATCTCCTCTCGCGAATTCCATCAAACAGATAGAACAAATCTCCTCCTCCGCTCGATCATCGCTCCTCTGCAACTCTTCGTATCTTCTCACCAGCAGAGTTCCGCCGCTTGAGCCGTCCGATTCCGGTACAAATGCGAGGCGGAAAACGCTAACGCCGCCAATAATCGCATCCTTGAGACGAAGCAGCGGGATCCATACGTAAGTGTTGAAGAAACTGATGGCCAAAAGAAAACCTAACATGACGATGTTGCGATTGAAGGATTGAAGGAAATCGGTGTTAAAATAGGACTATTGAAGGAGTGAAGAGGAGGATTACATCGTCGATTTCGCAATTGAAGTCCGAGAAATCTGAGTTTTGGGGAAAGTGTGGGCCATATCGATTCACTTCTGGAATTTCTAGAGCGATTTGAAGAAGAAGAAGAAGAAGAAGAAGAAGAAGAAGAAGAAGAAGAAGGAGTATTATATCGATCAGTGTGTTCTCTGCGACTTTCGAACTTTTCAACTGCTCTCCTGATTGCGCTATGATTCCGGCGGAGAAGACGGGCCGGGCGGCCGGCGGCGATTGCTGGTTTTTGGCATATTTATTGTTTCCATAGTTTAAACTCAATTATTTGAAAAGCTTTAAAGTAGCTTTTCGCATGTCGACACTATGGAGAAATTATTGGAATAACAATGTCAAAACTTTTAAATCAATCCTTTATATATATATATATATATATATATATATATATATATATTTATTTATTTATTTATTATTATTATTATTATTTTGTTTATTTTTGGTTTAATAATTATGAGTTTCTTTCCATTTATAACTCGAACACTGATCACAACCCAATCTAACTTAACCTCTATTTTCGAGTTGGGTTGTCGAGTTAACCTAACCCCAATAGAGTTTAGAGCTCGAAAATAGAGGTCGAGTTGTCGGGTTATTTCTTTTTAGAAAAAATTATTTATCCATAATACAACGATAATAACTAAAATCTCATAAGACTCAAATATTAAATATTCATGGGTTACAACTCAATACTAACATAGTTAAATGTTGTAATTTTATATTCAAGAGTACTGGTCGAGTTAGCCTGACTGGCTAGAAACATGTTAACCTGTAAACCGACTCGAATTTTCGGTTTTTCGAAATCTAATTCAACTCAATCTTTATGGTTTTGGTTGGGTAGTCCAGGTTGGTCACGTTCTCAGGTCATTTGAACACTCAGAGAAGAAATTTAGATTTCTTGAATATTTCTTTAATTTTCTTATTTCATTCTTTAATTAAAAAAAAATATATATATAATGTTAAGATATTAATGTTACTTTTTAGGTATTTTTGAAACGTGATAATAACAATTTCATTTTTTTATTGTTTAAAAAAATTAAGGATACGAATGAAATTGAAAATTCAAACGTTTTTTTTTAGTTTATTAAATTTTTTAACAGAATCACGTAAAAAAGTTGAAAGACATTTTTGAAAAAAGAACGAAAACCCTAAAATACACCGTCAAAGCATTCTTCGTCATGCAAACGAGCCTCGTACACCTCCCTCTTAGTCTACCTCTCTCCCTCTGTGATGTTTGTACGTGTCGTGATCTTCTAGTCATGTTTTTCAGCTTGTTTCTACGTGATGTATGTATGAAAGTGATAACGCTTACGCATGAAAATGATTCATACTCGAAAGTCAGACTTAGAGAGTACAAAAGCAACGCTCGGTCTAGTAAATTCATATGCATGAAATCAATGTACACGAAACTATGTATATAAAGGTAACGCACATCCCGAAAAAAAAAAAAACATGTTTGCACGAGCATGCATTCAAAAACATCTTACTTCGATATGATGCCACCAACCACAGCCGCTACGATAGCAGAAGGGTCACCAAGAATGGCAGAGATGATAACACGAGCAGCAGCACCAGCTACCCGACCACACTTCTCGACCGTTCCTCTTGCTCCACGCCGGTCTTGCATCGACCCCTTAAGCCGAGGAATCGTAGTAACCATTTCCCTAACCTTATTCTTATCCACATTGAAATACACAGCTTGCCAACTCTCCACCAACATCTCCTTCACACACGACAAATGAAGATTATAAGTCCTACACTTCGACCTATAAGACCAGCCGAGCCCCTTTCCGCCGCAGCCATGACACGAGCTCGAGAGCTTGTGACAAAGGTAGAGATGGCGCTGCCCATCATCAAGGACTTGCGGGAGGCTAGCGCAACAAGGATGAAGATCGAAGTCACAGGCATTGCAATGGTACACAAAGCCATGGATGTGAGTCCTACAAGCATCGCATACGCGCTTGGCTTGGCCTGGGGGGCGATGGTGTAGCTTAAATTCACATTTTTTATAGAAGGGATGGGTGATGGTTGGGGCGCCAACGGCGCAGACCTTGTGCATGTGGAAGCCACATTGGTGGCACTTGTAGTTGTAGCCAATGCCAGCTTCTTGGCAGCCATCGCAGTTGAAGGGGGCCTCGGTGTAGTTGAGTGTCAGCTTGTGGCATGGGTGGATTGGGTGAGTTATCTCTTTCTCAATCTTCATGTTTTTTCTATGTGTTTTTTTGCTCGTATCGTGCACTTTTAACGAGGTGACTTGGGAGATATCGTGATGCGGGAAGATGCTTTGCTTAGCCTTTACGATCGGAGAGCATCTTTGTTCAGTTGACATGTTTGTAAAGAATTAGATGCCATTAAAAGTATATTAGTAGATCGATATATTTATTCACTGTTTGAGTCAACTCTGCTAGTTTATGGGAATATGGAGGTAATCTAGTCGGACTCACTACTTTCATGGATCACTGTGACACGAAGAGCTTTGTTTGTACTCATTGAGTGAAACGGGAAGAGGGTTTATAGGGAATGAGCTTAAACTAAAGTGGTCACTGATCTAAGAGTTAGTATCGAATGAGGTTTTTTGATAAGTGAATGTTGTAGGGTCAAGAAGTTGTCTCGTGAGGTTCGGTGATGTTCATGCAAGTTGGTTCAGACACTTGGAAATAAAAAAGGAATAGTAAGTGAAATGGGAAGAAGATTTAAGTTTTAGCTCGCTATTTCAGTGATAGGGTTAAGCGACTGTCTCGTGAGATTAGTTGATGCTCATACAAGCTATGTCGGACACTTAAAAACACAATAGTAAGTGAAACGGGAAGAAGATTTCAGTTCTTGCTCACTGTTTCAGTGAAGGTTGTAGGGTTAAACGACTATCTCGTGAGATTAATCAATGCTCACACAAGCAGGCTCGAACAAGTGAAATGGGAAGAAGATTTTAGTTCTAGCTCACGGTTCCAGTGAGGGTAATAAGGTTAAGCAGTTGTGTCGTGAGATTAGTCAATGTTCACGCAAGCTAACTCGAACACGTAGACATAAAAAAGTAGTTATCGATAGAAAAGCAATGAAAAGGAATGGACTATTGCCTATGTGAGATTTAACGACCTCGTTGAGAGAATATAAAAAAAGAAAAGATTAAAAAAATGTTATACGAATCTTTTAATAGTAAAAAAGAATATTGTAAATGATAAAATATTAATTAATAATTCGAAAAAAAAAGAATATTAATATATAATAAATACCAAAGCTGATCTACAAAGCATATATTTGAAGTAAATTGTTTTATATATTAATAAAAATAAAAAACTTAGATATAAATATAAATTCTTTAATTCTTTACAATTATTTTGTTTTTTTTTCTATTTAAAAAAATTTAAAATTTAATTTAGTTTTTGTAAATATTGATAAATAATAAACAATAAAATAAAGAAATTCATATGTAATAAATTTTATAACATTAATTTTCAAAAGAATAAAAGTCAATTTGATATTAATGTTTGACTTTGTATTTTTATTCTCTATAATATATTTTTTTATTAATATACCACAATTATAAATGTTTAAAATGTTTAAGAGTAACATCAATTTAATAAAAATAAATAAATGTCTAAAAGTAAAACATAATTATATTATTATTACTATATTTATAAATAAAATATTATATATTTCATTAAAATATATATATATATATATATATATATATATATATATATAATATTATATGTCACTGTCTCTTATTTTAATTTTTATTCTTCCGAAATTATCAATTTATGTTCGTGTGGATCGAGTCAGTCCCTACAATAATTTTTTGGGAGTGGATTATCCGTGAATTTTTTTTTCTCTATAATTTTTAATCGATAATTTTAAACTTTCTAATATATATATATATTTTAATGTACAACACCCTAAGAAATTAAATAATATTTCCATAATATATTATTCAAATTAATTTCTAAAAAAATTAAATTTCAATCACACAAAAATATAAATTTATCTTTTATTAAGTAAATAAATTTTATATATATATATATATATATATATATATATATATATATGTATGTATGTATATATGCCACGTTGGTTTAGTAGTATTGGGCCTGGCACGTGAATGTTTAGGCCCATCTCAAAAAGAAAATAATCTGACATGAAAATAAAATTTAATACAGTGGCAGTGATCGGAGCCCTAGAAAGTGCCGGCGAAGGGGAATCATCCACCGTCACCGTCACTGTCACTGGTACTCTAAGGATCTTGAGGGAGATGGAAGAAACCTAAGAATAAAATTAATGAATTAATGATTTGAACTGTTCTTCTTTCTTCTCAATTGCCTCAAGTAGTTTCAGTTTCCTCTCCGATGTTTTTAGCTTATGATTTTGCGAATTTTACTTTCTTCTCGAATATGGAAAGTTTAGGACTCTCAATTAGTTGTACAAATCTTCAGTTTGTTAAACAAGATAGTTTTTATATCTTTGTGTTATCGGTATATTCGAGAAAATTGAGGTTCGTTCATTCTGTGTAGCCGCGATTATATCTCTCTAAGGATCGTGAGGGAGATGGAAGAAACCTCTCCTGATCCTTGTGTAGTATTCCTTTAGAATGAGTGGTGGCCGGCAGCGGACCCTCGGGGTTGGGATTCAGCATATTTTAGACGATCTGAAACGAATGCAGGCTGAGAATCCTGCTTTTTACTATGCAGTTCAGGGCGATGGAGATCACTCTGGGTGGAGTATATTGGGAATCGGAATGTGGGTACTTGACTGGATGCTCCTCCATTGATCTTGACTTGCTTCATTGCATTCATTCATTCTTTGCTTAACTATCCCAGATAGGCTTAACCAAGATGCTGTTGCACAGGTTCTTCCAGGAACCCGCCATTGTTTTTGCAAGTGGGCTATATTCAGAGAAACACAGGTGAAGTTGTCTCATCTCTGTCAATTTCATTCTACTTTTGAAGCTGAATTTAGAAAAATGAGTTAATGAGGCTGCGACATTTGAAGAATTTGAGTCTTGTTGGGAAGCTCTTCTGAATAAGTATTACATTATGGACAATGAATGGCTTCAGTTAATGTATAGTGCTAGACAACAGTGGGGGTACCTGTTTATGTGAGAGACACTTTCTTTAGAGAGTAAGTTTGAATTTGTTTTTTTGATGGATATGTTACTGCATCCACCACGTTACAGATGTTGGTTATACAGTATGAAAAGGGCCATGGAAAATTGGTATGGAAAAGAATTAAAAGCTGATTATGATCCAACTAACTCTATGCTAGTTTTGAAGACAACAGGCTGCAGATCCATATTCAAGGAGGATATTCAGAAAGTTCCAGGAGGAATTGGTAGAAACTCTTGCCAATCCTACAACCAAAATTGATGATACAGGAGCCGTGGCAAGTAGTGAAATTTGGGGAAGATCATAAAGCACATGCGGTTAGTTTTAATTCGTTTGAGTTGAAAGCTAATTGCAGCTATCAATTGTTTGAATATTCGGGAATAATTTGCAGACATATATTAGTAGTTTTCCTTCTCAATATGTATTGAAACGGTGGACTAGAAATGACAGAAATGGAGATGTAATAGATGGCCATAATTCTGAATTGCCAATTGAATCTAGAGATTCTTTGACTGTTAGGTACAATAATCTTCCTCAAGAAGCAATCAAATGTAACATCTCAAGCTCACCGCTACCAGATATTGTCTGCTTTAGCCTGTTATGTATCGCCGTCAGCCTCACGGTTTTAAAACGTGTCTGTTAGGGAGAAGTTTCCACACCCCTATAAGGAATGCTTCGCTCTCCTCTCCAACCGATGTGGGATCTCACATCAAATGTGTTGAGGAAGGAGTAAAGTCAATTCATATTCATAACGTGGCTATGGATATGGATGCCTTAAAAGAGGCCTCCAGAAAGGTTGCTGCTGTGAAGAATCGTGGCCCTAGAGCTTCGAATGGTGATATCATGGCCAATGGAGTTGTTGATCAATGGTTGCAACAGAAGAGGATCAGGTAGCAACCTATGGATCTGTGGTTAGTCTCTTTAGTTTGCAGTCTTAAAACCACTTAAATACATCATTATTCATTGATGATCCTCCGCCTCTTCTCCTGAGTGGAGCCGAGAAATTGTGCATTGTGCTTGGAAGACATCTAAAGCATTAGGGTAAAACACTAAATTTTTGTAACGACCCAAGGCCACCGCTAGCAAATATTGTCCTTTTCGGACTTTCCCTTTCGGGCTTCCCCCTCAAGGCTTTAAAACGCGTCTGCTAGGGAAAGGTTTCCACACTCTTATAAAGGTGTATCGTTCTCCTCCCTGACCAATCTGGGATATCACAATCCACCCCCCTTTAGGGCCCAGCGTCCTCACTGACACTTGTTCCTTTCTCCAACCGATGTGGGACCCCCACAAAATCCACCCTCCTTCGGGGCCCAGCGTCCTTACTAGCACACTGCCTTGTGTCTACCCTCCTTCGGGGAAGAGCCTCCTCACTGGCACATCACCTGGTGTCTAGCTCTAATACCATTTGTAACGGTCCAAGCCCACCGCTAGTAGATATTGTCCTCTTTGGGATTTCCCTTTTGGGCTTCCCTTCAAGGTTTTAAAACGCGTCTACTAGGGAAAGGTTTTCACACTCTTATAAAGGGTGTTTCGTTCTCCTCCCCAACCAATGCTACAGATTGAGTGGTAGGCTTTACTTTTTAATCAATTGAACATGGAGAGTTGGAAGATTCATTAGCTAATGTCAATAATAACGCTTAGGGGCTTGGGCCACATAGAACTTACTGAGTTGTTCTTGTCCTATACCTGTACTTTGGTTGGATGGCTTTCATTGTCTATACACTTTCAGATAGGTATGCTGGTTTTTAACTTAATTATTTCTGATCTTGACTTTTCTTTGATGCATCTGTTGTGCTGTATATGATGAATTGTCAAATAGAATGCTCATGCTTGATATCGAAGCGAGTCGATAGATTTGTCAAGGCTTCAGTTAATTAGATTCAGGTTGGTAGCGGTCATGTGGTCGTTACTTGTTGGGTGTATTAAATTCTCTGAATTGTCCGAATACGAGCCAACTGTTCGTCTCTGCAGTTTTCATATCTACTTTTCTGTGTGAGATTGAAAAGAGAAAAGGCTTGAAATAACCTATCATCAATTTTGTGGATGTAACATCTGAGAAGATAATGAAGTTTTCAGGACATAACGTGCTTTCTTAATTGTTCTCTGTTTCTGTTGGTTCTTTTCCCAGGAATAGAAGGAGAAGAAAATTCATGATCTTGGAAAAAATTGATCAACGTTGTGAAGTGTATAGAGCAAATCTCCTAGCTGTTCTTAGAGACGTGGAAGAGCAGAAGTTGAATCTATCAGTGATGGTCCAAAATGGGAGGAGCAATATTGTCCGTTTTGGCCCATTACATATTGGGCCGTCAGCCTCGCGATTTTTAAACACGTTTACTAGAGAGAGGTGGTTCTTACAAAGAATGTTTCGTTCCCCTCTCCAATAGATGTAGGGATCACACAATCCATTCCCTTGAGGGTCAATGTTGTCGTTGGAACACCGCCTGGTGTTTGACTATGATACCATTTGTAACAGCCGAAGCTCATTGCTAACAGATATTGTTCTTTTTGGAGTTTCCTTCAAAGTTTTAAAACACGTCTGTTAGGTATGTTTTATTTCTCCCTCCAACCGATGTGAGATCTCACAAATTATGATTGTCATCCTATCTTGAGTTGATACAATTCATTCATCCATTGTATTCATCTTATTTAATGGCTTGTCTTTCCAACGACAGAACAAGTGACTCGTGGCACAGAAAGGAACGGTCGAGGGGTCGAGGGTGTCTACTGTCGTGTAAGTGCTCTAAATTCTGTATGTTTTCTGAGTATTGATTTGTAGAAAAAAATGCTATACCTTAACCTTTCGACTGTGACAAAGAGGTGGTTGGATCTAGGATGAAGCATCATGAACATCTGGCATTAAAGGCTGCCTTTGGACGTGGATAATGAAGATGAAAGCTGTTGAAATCCTGATGACTCAAATAACTCTTATTTGGGTGATTCTTGTAAAGTAAATACAATGTATTGTTAAAAGTTCTTCAATTTTGTAGGAATATCATTTAATATTCGTTAGGTCCAATGAAAAAAAGCTCTATTTTTCTCGATCTAACTTCCTCACACTATCAGTGTCCCACTCTGATATCATATTTAACACCTCAAACCCACCACTAGCAGATATTGTCCACTTTGGCCTGTTATGTATCGTCGTTAGTCTTGCAATTTTAAATCACATCTATTGGATAGAGGTTTTTGCACTCTTGTAAGAAATGTTTCGTTCCCCTCTCCAACTGATGTGAAACTTCACGACTAATCATGTCTAAATCACCTTTCAAATGTTCCCAATATTGATCGTTGCTTAACGGTTTACAAATTATTGGTGTATCAATAGTGTATTACTTGTCAAAATTTGTTTCAAGTATGACATTGATACATCAATATTACATCATTTCTCTTTTAACAATGTATCTCATTGGTATACCAACATATATGCTCATTTAAAATCCAATTCCAAGAATTGATATATCAATAATTTATAACACTCTAGTATATCAATAATGATATCTAATATGTTTATAGACTTTCGTTTTAAACTAACATCGAGTCTTCATCATTCCTTTTCTATTCGTATAAGAGGCTTTTCTTCATTAGCTAAACATAGCTAAAAGAGATTGAAGAGAGATTATATTCCTCGTATTAATCTAACATCGAGTCTTCATCATTCCTTTTCTATTCGTATGAGAGGCTTTTCTTCATTAGCTAAACATAGCTAAAAGAGATTGAAGAGAGATTATATTCCTCGTTATAGGTGTCTGACCTCAACTTTTATATATAAATATAACATTTCTGTATGTATCAAACTTATTAAATTACTTTACTTTCTTAGTAAACAAATATGTTTTAAAAAAATGTGGAAAAATTTGAATTTTTAGAAATTCTATGGAATATTATATTATATTTTTATTAATGAAATATTATTAAATAAAAATTAATAAAAAAAAAATCTTTGAAAAGAATATATTCTTTAGAAAATATATAAAAGAATGTAGAAATTTCCGATAAATAAACAGAAAATTAAAAAAAAAAAAGATTGAAATAGGAGACGGTGCGCCCATACATATTATATAATACCTTAATTTTGTCGTTAATTTCCTATGCAAATACACATCACACATCCGCTGTAAAGAGCACCAAAATTTTGTTGTCAAATTTTTTATTCAAATACACCGCACTTTCGCTGTAAGAATCACAATCCCTTTTCAATTCTTTAAGTCAAAGACGAAGCATTTACAACTAATGACGCTTTCAATTAAAGTTTTTGGAATAAAATCATAAACAAAACCTATTACTCACTCACAAATTCATACATTCATCCACAAACGACAACAACACACAGACACACAGAGCAGAAAAATCTTGGCACATAGTGAACTAAAAAAGAGATTCGTCATCACATCACACAATTACATAATTTCAGTTACATGGGGGGTTTGAACTTTGAATTGAACTAAAAGAAGAAGAAGAAGAAGAAGAAGAAGAAGAAGAAGAAGAAGAAGAAGAAGAAGAACAAACAAAGCTATATATATTTTGATGAAGTAAAAAGAAAAAAGAAAAAAAAAAAAAAAAAACTAAGAGTTGAAGGGGTTTTTTAACCTTTTTATTCTATGGCGATTGACTGTGTTTTGTAGTCATTCCCAATTTGTATGTGTGTTCTTTCTCCATCCATTGATTCTGCTTTTGCTGCTTTCTGCAAATTCCACGAGTTTTTGTGGGAACACAGAGAGTTTACCTTTGATGGGGTCTTTTTGATTCTCTTCTTAAGAGGAAGAAGCGCGAGTGACATCTCTACTGGATCTATTGTACTTCATATGGCTCCTCACAAGATGTCCTGCTGAAATTGCAGACATTAGAGACAGCTCTCCTGCAAGAACTGAACCAGCTACAATGGTGGCAAGGAGCCTCGCGTTGGAGCCTGGAGCTTCTCTGCTGGCTCCTTTAACTCCAAGTAGATTCAAACATGCAGATTGAGAAGCAAGCTGGGTTCCTCCTCCAACTGTGCCCACCTGCATTTAGGAAGGAATTGAATATAAGCAACGTGAGACCCCACAGAGATTTCAACAATTGTTGTCAATGTTTCTAATGCTACAGAGTCTGAAGTAATTGACCTCGATGGAAGGCATGGTTACAGACACGTGAAGATCCTGGCCGTTGTTGACAGCTTCCATCATTGTAATACAGTGAGAACTCTCCACGTTCTGTGCTGGATCTTGCCCTGTTGCGATGAAGATGGCTGACACGATGTTACTAGCGTGGGCGTTGAAGCCCCCAAGAGCTCCAGCCATGGCTGAACCAGTAAGGTTCTTGAGCATGTTAAGCTCAACTAAGGCTTGTACATCGGTCTTGAGGACCTTCTTCACTACATCGCCTGTGATTGTAACCTCACAAACCACCGATTTACCACGCCCTTCGATCCAGTTCACAGCAGCGGGCTTCTTGTCCGAACAATAGTTACCTGGTTTTATGAACATACAGAATTTTCCCATAGGTGTGAGATAAGTAAGCAAATTGGATAAGTTGGGGGTTGCAGAAGGATTTTGTTCTCTTACCAGATATGCCAATTACGTCCATGTCAGGGAAATCGGTCTGGAGGAAATCCAAAACGTTCTGTACTCCTTTGGACACCATGTTCATCCCCATAGCATCACCAGTACTGCAAGAGAATCTCATGTACAGATTCTTACCAGCAATGGCGCATTTGATACTCTGTAGCCTTCCAAATCTGCTAGACTTGTTGAAAACCGAGGCCAAGGTATCGAAATTCGCTGGTTCCTCCACATAGAATTTCAATTCCGCTGCTCTTTTAGCTGTAGCGAACCTCATAACCGGTGCTCTCGTCATTGCATCTCTCAACAACACACTGTTAGCCCCACCGGACATCATAATCGCTTTACAGCCTCTATTCGTACTCGCAACCAAGCAACCCTCGGTGGTCGCCATCGGTACAGAATACTCCTTACCGTCCAACAACAACGGACCGGCGATTCCCACTGGAACCTGAACGTATCCAACCGGCATCTCACAGCACTGCCCCAAAATCGAAGCGTAATCGAATCCTTCCAACGGAAGTCCCGATAGCGACTTCCCGGTTATTCTCTGCAAGGACTCGCGGCGAATTGCCGCTGCTCGAGCACAATCGCCTAGCTTTGATTCGAGAGAATAGGACGGCGTGGCCCCAGCCACAACGGATTTAACAATCTCCTCATCCTCCTCCGTCAAATCAAAGCTAACAGGCACCGGATCGACCACCTTCGGCACCGAGGGCACAGGAGATGCCAAAATCGGCATCGCGCAATCGATTCCAGCGCCACATGGAACCTTCCGAGTATCCTCCCTAACCAGAACCACCTCATCGTCTTCGGACGTCCACACATCATGCGAAGGACGGAAAATCGACTGAACAAAGTCGATGCCGAAGAATCCGAGAAGGTAAATAAAAGAAGCGACGAACGCAGAGATAGCAACCATTTCGGAAAGCGTAACGACATGGAGAGGAGTCGATGAACGAATCTTCTCACGCCACCGCGTCAGAAGAAAATAAACGACAGAGAAAAACAGAGTAAAGAAAGCGGCATTGGTAAGGTAAATAGGAAGAGGCAAAACATCAGACGCCTTAACTGCATCATGATCACGTTGTTCCATCATCTTAACCTTGAGAGGATTTTTTGCCATGGATTTGACCGGTTGTTGGTCGGCGGAGAAGTTTTTGGCAGGTGGAGAAGACCGGCGACGGTGCGCGTCCATGGTTGCGGAAGAGAAAGCTGAAATGGAAAACGCCGACGCCGGAGTTTTCTCTTCTTTTTTATTCTCCGTTTCCTCCTTCCAAATTGAGGAGACAGTTAAGATTTTAGAAAAAATTTGAAGGGTGAAGCGAGGATTTGGGAGAATTTATAGGGCTTTTTCCTCCTCCGTGGGGCCCACCGAACCTGTCCAGCTCAGCACGAACCGGACCGAGCGGAGGGGGTTCATTATTCTCCTTTGTGGGTTGCAAGTTGAGGGCAATCATGTAAATATAGATAATAATAATATATAATTCTTTATTTTTATTCATTAATTAATCAATAACACTCGTACAAAAAATAAATTTAATTACAGTATTTAATTACTTCCTTGGAATTTAGTTTTTATTTTGGTCTTTAAAAAATAGTTTCTATTTATTTATTTTACTTTTAAAATGGTGACACTAATTTATTTAAAAAATATTTACTTATTGGATAAATATAGTCGGTGACAGATGTCTGTCCCGCTCTATTTAATATAAATATATTTTCAATATATATATATATACACGATTTTTTTTTTGCTATTAACAAAATATTATACTGTAATATTTAAATTTAAATTGTTTTAAGTATTTATAAATATTTTTTATTTTCAATAAATTTTAAAATTTACTTTAATTACAAGAATTTGGTACGTACTATTAGTATAGATACTATTTTCATTTATTGCCCGTCTAAGTTAACATTATTTAAGCACAATAGAGTTAATAAAGCAAAATTTACAATGTGAACTGTCTAAATAGATTAACTTAATTAAGAGAATTTGGTATGTACTATCAGTATAGATAGTATTCTCATTTATTGTCAGTCACGTCAACATCATTATAACTTAGTCGGTAAAGCAAAATATACAATGTGAACGACCAGATTATGTACTATAAATATTGTCGTTTCTTATCACTAGAAGAGATCACGTTCGAGAAAAAAGACTTTTTATTTATTGTTCACTTTGGCTCGTTACGTATTTTTAAAACGCGTTTATTAGGGAGAGATTTTCATACTAAGGAATGTTTAGTTCTTCTCTCCAACCAATGTGAGATCTTACAGTCCACCCCTAGAGGCTCAGAGAACTCGCTGACATGTCCCTTGGTGTCTATTTTTAATAGTTCAAGTCCATCGTTAACAGATATTATCCACTTTGGCTCGTTATCAGCTCACAATTTAAAAATGCGCCTGTTACGGAGAGGATTCCACACCTTAAAAGGACTCGATAGTTAAAAAAAAAAGTACAA